CCAATCACGAGATGGGTTAATCCATTGGGGGGTGGCCAGGGCGGGTGTGGTGATAAGGGAGTCAGTCCTCCATGGCGGGGACCCTCACAAGCACTCATCAATGGAGGAGTGGTGATAGCGAATAGCGGGGGTTGCCTTACCACATCTCAGATCCTGCTGTTTCGAGGCCTGCTCCAGTCTCAACACCCTCCTCTTACCACCATTGGATCTTCATCATCTCGCGGTGTGCATTTTCTTTCTTCTCGAGGAGAAAAACACTAAAGGCTCATACAAAGACACTTTGCGGATCTCAGCATCAAGAAACTGCATGTTGCGTAGCTTCAGCTCCTTCCGAATGGCCGAACAAGCAGCGAAACGCCTCAAGATGTCTACTCTTACCATTGGAACCCACAATGGCCACTTCCACGCGGATGAGGCCCTCGCCGTGCACATGCTCCGCCAGCTGCCCGCCTACGAGGGTGCCAGCCTGATCCGCACGCGCGACCCCAAGCTCCTCGAGACGTGCCACACCGTCGTCGATGTCGGTGGTGAGTACGACGCCGAGAAGAACCGCTACGATCACCACCAGCGCGGCTTCACGACGACCTTCCCCGGCCGCTCGACCAAGCTGTCGAGCGCCGGCCTCGTCTTCCTGCACTTTGGACGCGCCATCATCGCCCAGAAGATGGGCACCGCCGAGGACAGCCCCGACGTGGCCCTGCTGCACAACAAGTTCTACGAGTCCTTCATCGAGGCCCTCGATGCCCACGACAACGGCATCTCCGTGTACGACCCCGCCGCCGTCTCGGCCGCGGGCCTCGAGAAGCGCTTCAGCGAGGGCGGCTTCACCCTCGGCGCCATGGTCGGCCGCTTCAACGGCAACTGGAACGACCCCGTCATTGCGGACCCCGAGCAGGCCCAGGCCGCCGAGGACAAGCGCTTCGAGGCCGCCTCGGCACGCATCGGCGAGGAGTTTGACCGCGACCTGCAGTACTACGCCAAGGCCTGGCTGCCCGCGCGCGCCGTCGTCAAGGCCGCCTTTGACGCCCGCGCCCAGCACGACCCCGAGGGCCGCATCCTCGTCTTTGACGGCGTCAGTGCTCCCTGGAAGGACCATCTCTACTCGCTTGAGGAGGGCAAGCCCGCCGTCCTCTACGTCCTCTACCCGGAGAAGCCCGTCCCTGGCGCCAAGTGGCGCGTGCAGACCGTCCCCGTGACCAAGGACTCGTTCCAGAGCAGGAAGCCCCTGCCGGAGGCCTGGCGGGGGTTCCGCGATCAGGAGCTCGACGGCATCGCCGGCATCGATGGCTGCGTCTTTGTCCACGCCGCCGGCTTCATCGGCGGCAACGCCACCTTTGAGGGCGCCCTGGCCATGGCCACGAAGGCCCTCACCTCGTAAACAGCTAGGGTTTTTGCATGGGATTGGGTCTAGAGGTTGGCGGAGGATGAGCGTCCCCGACCAAAAGAAGAAGACAAAAAGGACGGCGTCTGGTACTCGAAACAAACAAAAGGAGAAGGCGAGGAAACAAGACAGGGATGAGATCATGATTTCTACACTTTTTTTTTTCTTTCGCTTCATATTCAAAATACGAGGCTATCTAGGCCCCCCCACTACGGACTCCATACTGATGAGAAGCGTGATGGCTCTTGCCATCTCGTACCTAGATTGTGCCGTGAAAACACTGCTGCCACTCTGTTGCAATAGACTAGCATTTGTGACTTGAATCTTGGGGAAGACGGATAGAGGGGTCGAGAGAAGTGTCAGGGATGAAATCGACAACCTGGACCAAGTTGAATCACTGAGAAGGAAATATAAAAGAGGCAAAGCAGAGGTCTGCACATCAACACACAACGTACACAACAGTTTCAGCTCTGGAAGGACGAAACAAGATATGACAGAGGAAACTGGCTCGTCCGTATCTGAGCCCCAAAAACGCACACCTTCCCCGCACCGTCTCTGTCCCGGCCACTCACTCTCTCCCTTTCTCTCTCTGTCTTTCGTAGTTTCGCAGTGTGCCAGTCCGTCCCAACGCCGCAAAAAGAATCGCATCAAATCAAGCCCCTTCGTAAAATCATGAGGGTGATTCTGCCGGAACACCCGTTTGCCGCCCGCGACTTAGGTCTCCCCCCACCCGTGTCAGTGTGTTCACGCATCCGTTGCCCCGCGCCATGGTATGCTCTTCCTCGCCTATCTGCGAATGGGAATGCCCTCCGTCTTGGACGCTGGCGAAGGAGTACCCTGGGGCTCGGGCAGGCCGCCGGCGGCACCCTCATCGGCGCCCTCAGCGCTCGTCTCGCGGTTGAGGAAGCTCGACTCCTTGACGGGGCTGCCGGCCGAGACACCGGCGGCGATGCTGCCGTGGTGCTTCTGGGCGCCGGCGTTGGCACCGCCGACGCCCGAGGGGGCGCCGGAGCCGTTGACGGGGCTCGACAGGTGGGGGATGTTCTCGGGGGACGGGGTTGCTGGGAGCCCGACGGCGCCGGCGTCGACGCCGTCGCCCTTGCCGGCCTTGGACATGGCGTAGTCGCCCGAGTCGAAGTACTTGCGGTCCTTGAGGTGCTTGGCGAAGTGGTCGGACCGGGAGGGGAGCTTGCCGTAGAGGCGGAAGAGGCGCTGCTCCTCGGGGGTGAGGGACTGATGGCGGGGAGGGGCAGATGTCAGCTTTTGTTTCCCGTGACGGTGGCATTGATCTGAACAGGGGCAGCTTGCGTCTCCGTGCCGTGGGCTTGCGAGGTGTTGGTGATAGCTCTGGAAGCTGATGCACCATGGCGAGTCATGTCGTTGAATTCGACGTAGAGGAGGAGGGGAGAGGCGGGAGGGGGAGGGGCAGACTACGTACAGACGTCGACCTTGTTCCTGTGGTGAGGGTTCATACTGAAAGGAGGTGCCTCTAAGGATGTCTGATGGATGTGATAATCTTGTTGCTCAGGAAGAATGGGTTCAATGGTTCGTATCGTTCTTGGCGGAAGGGGAAAAAAAGTCGAGACTTGGATGGTTATGAGGGGAGGAAAGGGAGCACGTCTGTGGTCAGGTAAAGGCAAGCAAGGTAGGTGGTAGGTAGGCAAGGTACAATCAGCGTCAGTGGTCAGGACGGCCTGGTCACACTGCTGGGGTTAGCGGGGGCCCCTCACTTTTACGCCCAAAAGGTCCAATGCCCAAAGGTCGACTGCCGCACCTGGAGCACCCAAGGCCCAAGGCGCAAGGCCCAATGGACGCGGGTGGGGCCTGTCACGCGGGAAAGCCTTGTGTCATTGTACCGTCTACGTGCAACACCACTGCGCAGGTGCAATGCCCCGGCCCCCGGCGTTGCATCACGACGCGGGACGTGCCTGCCGGTTGGATTGGCCGTCTCTGCTGGGTTCCTTCTCCCACAACACATGGGTCGTCTCTACAGCGACAGCATGAACCAAGGAAAGCAAAGGACATATGCCCCTATAACATGCGAGTTATGCTGTTCTGGACATGGCTGGTCAAATGAAACCCTGGATAACCAGCCTGTTTTCCCCCCCTCTCCCTGCCGCCTCAAGCCTGTCACACCATTCATGCCTTGTATGTACATGGCATTGCAGTGGCCAAAGGACGTGCTTAGACACGCGTCGACCAGAAAACATCATCGGTCCATGATGGCATGGCAACGTCCGCCGACAGCTGATCACAGCCCCCGTTCCCACACCGCCGCTCCCTGTGCATGGGAAGATCTGCAAACACTACCATCATCGCGTCCTACCATTCCGGCGATCGTTTCCCACTGCCGCGCCAGATCATTCATGGGCTGTCGGTGCAAAAAGCAGGTTGGTGATGGGCCACAGTTATGACTGATGCCAGATTGGGCAGTAAATGACCATTGTATCAATATCTTGCTAACCGCCACGAAACCACTTTTCTGCAAAGTGATAGCACTTGTTTTCGACGTTCCCCGCCAGCATGCTGCTGCAATTGTGATTCAGACATGGAACCTCTCGCCCCCTGCAGGCGAACCCTCACTGTTCTTCCTCGTCCGTCGTGTGTTTGCTCTCCGTCGTGTCACCCCTCTCCTTCAGTCGCCAGAACATCCACAACATGCAGAGGTCGTACATGACCTTCATGGTTCCTGCACCCGTCAGCACGACGATCCACAGCTTTCGCGCCGCCAGGAAGCCCGACGTGCCGACGCCGCCCGCCTGCGCCAGCGTCTTGACGCTGTTCACGACACCGAGGATGGCCGTCCTCTCGCCCGGCAGCACGACGGCCGAGAGGAAAGCCTGCCGCGGCGCCGTGTCCATGCTCTGGCTGCAGGCGCGCAGCGACAGCAGGCCCATGGCGATCCAGGTCCCGGTGCTGCCGGCGGGCACAAAGGGGATGACGGCGAGGAAGACGGCCGACGGCAGGTGCGTGAAGACCATGGTCTTGAGGGGCCCGAGGCGCCGGATGATGGGCAGCGCCGCCAGGTTGGAGAGCGACGCCAGAATGTTGGTCACGAGGAACAGCGTGCCGAGCGAGCCCGGCTCGAGCGAGTGCACCGTCGTGAAGAAGTAGGTGAGCCATGAGGGCGACGCCATGCCTGAGGCGAACGAGTCGACAAAAAAGACGACGAGGAGCCTGTAGAGCAGTGACCTCGATTGCGCCGAAATGGCCGGCACCATGTTGCGGACGCGCTGCCATGCGCTCAGCGTGCGTTGTGACGACATGGACATGGAGGTCGAGCGTCTCCGTGACGCCGCGGCTGGGGATGCGACCCCATCGTGACCGTCATCGGACCGGTCGTCGGCGAGGAAGGCGTTCCCTTCTTCGTCGTCCTCCTGCAGTTCGGTGGGGACAGCGCTGTAGGCAGCCTGAGAGGGTTCGGCCTCGACGCCGGCGCTCAGGAAGAAGACGAGGAACAGCTTGACGATGCCGATGCAGGCATAAATGACAAAGATGACGCGGTAGGCAGCCTGGGTGTCCCAGTGCTCGAGGTCCTGAAGCAGCTGCACCAGCCAGCCGCACGTCATGGTGCCGGCGGCGGCGCCGGCAGTGCCCAGCAGCGTCGACCAGGCGAAAATGTCACTCCTGTCTTCTCTGTCGGTGAGCTGGGCCAGGATGGACTCCTCGACGGCGCGAAAGGGGCCAATCTCGTTGCCGCTCGGGCTGATGACGCCGATGACGCTCGCCACGAGGAGAAGCCAGTAGTTGCCGCTCAGGGCAAACATGAAGCCGCTCATGGCCATGAGGACAGCGCCGGCTGCCAGGACCCGGCGGCGGCCGAGCTTATCGGTGACGGCGGTCAGGATGAAGCTGATAATGACATCGCCAAAGAGCGTCAGGGTCATGAAGATGCCGATTCGTTCCTCGGAGAAGCCGTGACTCGAGAGGAAGTGGACGAGGATGAGAAAGGTAGCACCATATCCGAAGTAGCGGACGAAGCGTTGCAGGCAGAGAATCTTGGTATCACGGGGTGACCGTACGAGCGACGCGGCGCCGCTCTCGACATAGAGTCGCGCAGTCCAAGAGGGCGTCGAGACGGGCATGATGGATGCGCAATGTTGCCGCGGGGGCGATGATGGGGGAGGGGAGGAAACAGCAAGACGAGGAGAGGAAATCACGGTGCTTTCATAGCTGCCTTTTGAACCATCTCATCAAACGCAGAAATACTGGCCGAACAAAAGGATAAAAAAGGCTATGGCCGGTCATGGAGAGGTCATGGAGAGCGGGGCAGTCCAGTAGCACCAGGTCCGACTCCGAGTCCAATCAGAGATGGTTCATCGTCATCAAGAAAGGCCTCCACGCATTAGCGCTGGTGGGTGTGCCGTCAGCCGCGATGCCGTGAAGCCTGTCCCATCGGGGGGTGTCTCGTGTGCGTCGGGCATGTCAACCCACCCAACTCCGGGCCATGTGCCGTGCGCCAAGGATTTCTGGGCCGCTGGGGTTGAGCTGCCGGCTCGAGGTGGTGAAGTGGTGATAGACACGAAAAGTGCTGTGAACTAGAGGCCCTGCCACTTTCAACGAGCTCGAGTGTCCTTCCTTGCGAGTCAGGTCTGGGTTCGTCATCCATCAGCAGAGCCGTCTCGGCAGTCCGAAACTCCGAGTTCAAGCGCCGAAGTGCCAGACGTTGGCGGCGCAGAAGGATCGGAGCAGACAACGAAGCTTGCCGATTGCGTCTCGGCCTTCTACCATGTTGGCCGTTGTCGCATGTGCCAGGGTTCGTCAGAGGTACAGGTAGGTAGGTAGGTACCGTGTACCTACCTATGCAGGTTCGACAGCACCGCTTAAACGGGGTCAAAGATCATGCATCTATACGACACGGCCATGCAGCTATGCGGCACTGCCCCGCGACCGACAAAACCGGGTCGCTCTGTTCTTATCTCTTATCGTGCGTCGACTAGTCCCCTTTCGACATGGCGCCATTGGAAATTTGTGTGAAATTCCTCGAGCAGGAGCAGAGGCAGCAAGCAAACACCAGCAAAAGGCTGTTTCGCGATCTTTCCACCCCCCCCCCCCTCCAAGACCGAGAAGCCAGAGAGGCACCCATAGCGGCGAAGGGAAACCCCGTTCTTCAAGCGCCCGGCACCTCCCACAATGGCAGCACCCGGGGGACCTCTCACCCAGGTCAAGCTGCCGGCGGGCCCTTCGCCTGTCACGGCTGAGCAGCGCTACTGGCAGTCTTTCAAGAACCAACTCCAGATCCCCTCGCCCACGAAATATCCCATCACCCACATCAGGGGGGCTTCCAACGACGGTCACTTTGCCGGCACCACCGGGACGCGGGTTCAGATCTACTCGGGACGCACGCGGAAACTCGAAAAGACCGTCACCCGCTTTGCCGATGTCGCCCGGAGGGGGGATATCCGCCGCGATGGCAAGGGCCTCGGGGCCGGCGAGGACACTGGCCGGATCCAAGGCTTTGACGCCACTCGGGGGCCACCTGAAGAAGGGATGAACACAAGAGGCCGGCTGGGCAAGAGGTTTCCAAGACGCAGCTCACAACCTTCTAATGCTTCCGAGACAAGACAGTCCGCCTCTGGGACCTGCCCAGCAACCAGCCCACCCACACCTTCATCGGCCACCAGGACTACGTCCGCAGCGCCGATTTCATGCCCGGCTCCATGGCCAACCTGCTCGTCTCGGGCAGCTACGACTCGACTGTTCGTCTCTGGGATCCGAGGATCGGCTCCAACCAGGCTGTCATGACCTTCAAACACGCCGCCCCCGTCGAAGACGTCCTCGCCCTGCCCTCCGGCACCACGCTGCTCGCTGCCGCTGGACCCGCCATTTCCGTTCTCGATCTCGTCGCCGCCCGTCCCCTGCAGCAGCTCACGAACCACCAGAAGACTGTCACGTCTCTGTGCCTCGCCAGCGGCGGCACCCGTCTCGCCTCGGGCGGCCTCGACGGCCACGTCAAGATTTTCGAGACGACCGGCTGGAACGTCGTGTCGACGACGAAATACTCCTCTCCCATTCTGACCCTTCGCGTCCTCGGCGCCTCCGACTCGTCCACCTCAACGGCGTCCGCCGCCGGCGCCGATCCGGGCTCCAACGCCGGCAACGACCGCCACCTCCTCGTCGGCATGCAGTCGGGCGTCCTCAGCATCCGCACCCGTCTCTCCGGTGCTGAGGCCACGCGCCAGCGCGACCGTGACCGTGAGATGGCCGCCCTCCTCGCCGGCACACTCGACGCGCACGACGCGCAGCACGCCAAGAAGAAGCGCCGCATCGCCGCCACGCGCCGCCTCGACATGCCCGGCGAGTCAACCGACGTCGTCATCGCCAACGAGCCCCGCGAGGGCGCCCGCAAGAACCGAGGCGCTCT